ACTTACTGTGTTTTGAGACAGACCGTGATTTGCACCCAATGTCCTGGGTTCAATACCTCCCTAAATACTAACACTTCAACACCTCTAACAATTGCCCTTTTCAAAAAATTGAAAAAAAAAGAGAGTAAAATTCATGTTTTGAATAAAAAAAAAAGTTAATAGTTTTATTTAAAAACAAAAAAATTTTGTTTTTAAATAAAAATAATTAAAATTTATATCTTTATCTATAAATTTATTCAAAATATCTCATATTGTCCACACACACACACACCCATTCTTTCATTATCATATATATATCTCTATATATATATGCTGTAGCATATGTTCACACAGAAATGTCCAGTAAGAGGTGAGAGGACAACATGATAAGCTATAGAGGGAATCAATGACCGTGGACTGGACTTGGAAACACACCTTAATCTTTATTCTAATTTGGGAGGAAACAACTCAACTTTTGTAAAACGAAATCTGGAGTTGTTTCTGTGATACCTTAGTCAATTGTGAACGTAAGACAACGAACCACATAGAAGGTCATCAAAGTCAGTTACCAATGACGCTTTTAAATTTGACTATGCAATCCAACGCTTGCTCGAATTCACTTTCTTCCAAGCCAATTGTAAAGCGACAGTAGCCTGGAATTCCAGTCCATGAGCCACTGTTAATGCATAAACCTGTTGCCTTCACCATGGCTTCCCTGATAGTTGAGTCATCCAGCTTCACTTCGTAAGTAGCAGCATTTCCACCGCTGACTCCATCTTTACATGGATGATTGAGCTTAACAACCTTGTTGAGGTAGGCAGATGGCTTTGCCACCATAGAAATACCACCCCTTGGTTCAACAATCTTCCATCCTGATTTCTCCAGTGTCTATAGCAAAAGTATCAGGACAAAGGTATCAGAATGTTATTGAGGAGAATACACCACCTCATAAATCAGCATCCAGACTGAGTGATATTTGGGACAAAATATTAAGCCTATGCCAGTGTTATACTCTGTCTGGCAGTAAGTACCGCAAATATGAGAAAATCAAGCACTGATGAACAATATATCCTTCACATTTGTTATTAATATATCCACAAAACTATTAGATAATAACAGGAGACAAGAATTGAGTTAACCGGATAAATAGATTTCTTGAGAGAGAAGAGTACCTCTTTTAAACGCTTAGCTCTAGTTTCCAAAGTTCTAATGTGTTCATTGATAGCATCTAATAGGCCTCCTTCTTTGCGCTCTCTCATACCCAGCAACTTCTTCATAGCATATCTGTCGGTAATATGGGGTTTGCTTAATCCAGGATAGTTATAAAATGCATCGACCAAATTTTGTTGGTTTAGGACAAGAAACCCAAATTTAAGCACTCCACTGAGCATTTTCAAAGACATTCCTCCAAGCAGAGAAACACAAAATGATGTGTTGCTGAAGGAATTTAGTTTTGACAAATAAGCCTCTAAATTCCAGCCACTCCAACTTTCAAATTCAAATTCCAACCCAGAGAATGAAGTATCAATCACCACCCTGGCTCCAAATTTTGCACAGGTAGTTAGAATGCTCTCCATTTCTTTGTTGCTATAAAGCAAGCCAGTTGGGCTGATTGTTGGTCCAGAAATATATACCCATGGCTTTTTTACAGTCTCAAGTGCTTTCTCTAGTATTTTCTCTGTCAGCTTAAACCCTTGCTCAGAATCAGTAGGGATATTTAAAATCTTTGCTTTCAAGAATTTGGCAGTAGAAACATAGTTTCCATTTGAGCCAGCTGGGAAGCACAAAGTTCCACCTTCCTGAATGCAGCAAAGGACTAGCTTATTAAAAAGAGCTTGCGAGCAGTCTGAATATATAAATTCCATGCTGCCATCAGTTGGGAACCCATAATTGCTCTTGATAAATTGTTTTATGCTGGGAGTAACATCAATTTCGGACTCAGACATGTTTTGACGTGCAAAACTTTCAAAAATAGCTGCCTTCACAGGAGAAGGCACTGGCAGGAAGCTTTGATCCACATCCATGTGAATAATGGAGAAACTATCTGTATCACTAATTGATAACTCAGCATTATTAAGGACTGAGATTGCTGATGTAGCAAAGCCAATCATCTCGGCTGAGCTGGCCTTTGCAGAACTCCTCTGTAAGATGGAACAAAAACTTATTGTTTGAGATGTCTTACCTTGATGTAATTTGATGTAATTTATTAGAAGTCAAGACATTCATGAACATTGGGAAAAAAAAAAAAAAAATCTTAATATTCTTGCTTTGAAATGGAAACTTGATGTAATTTAATAATTTTAAGAGCATTATTTTTGAATAGTTGCTTGTATGATAAACAAGGTGATCTTCAGTGGAGGGGTGAAAAAAATATATGTTAAGTAAAAAGACACATAAACCTCTTGAGGTGGATGCCTGTCAGCAAGCTGAAAAGCTAGAAGCTCATGAAAAAGACAACCATAGTAATACTGACTGATCATTGCCGTATTTCCTTCTAGTACTTCCACAGTTTTTGATAAGGCCTTAAAGATGGCTTCGTCTTCTGAAATGACAAAGGCCACTTCTAAGTCTGAATAAACCTGCAAAGGTTTGCCACCATTACTAATTAGATGTCAAAAGTAAAACATAATAAAGGTGACACTGATGAGGCTGGATGTGACAGTCAATCTTATGGAAACTTAATCTGATTATGTAGATAGAAAGTTTCCTATGGTGACAGTGCGAACAAACTTCTTGGCAATATACCTGATTCTTAACCAGGCCACAAATAACTGCTGCATGTGAAGGCAGAGGAGTTCCTGATAGATATTTCAGTACTCCATTAGAGGCTGGGAGGCTGGATAACTCAAAATGATCAGATATGTCTAAGAAAAGACGAGATCCAATTTCTCTGGTGACATCTAATAGCTGCACAAAAGCTGAACTAGTAACAGCCTCAAAATGAGCCATCCCAGTAACCACCACCTGTGGCTTCAGCTTCTTTATCAGCTCTATCATTAAATCAGATTGGTGTGGTGCTTCAATGACAGTAAGTAAGTCCTCTGACAAGCCAATATCTGCATTCTACATATATATGATTTAATTATCACCTTGTATCAATGAAATTATCTGCAAAGAAAATACTAAAACTAAGTGATATCTGATCCTTACCACTCATTACTAACATACTAAATGGGATAGAATTCACCTTATGGGGCAGGGGATGGGGGGGTTTGGGCGGGGAATCATTAATTGCTCCATTTAATATAATAAAAGGCATATAAGATGCCATTCCACCATTCTAGAATAGATTGGAAAAGAAAACAACAATAATAATTCCACCAAGATAGTAACTGATGGCTGTGAGAAAGATTATTTGAACATGAATCATCTTATCAAATCCATCCACCAATAAGTAATAAGGAATAGCACTATCATTCAAGAAACTGGGATTTGATTTCTTTTATATTCTATTTTTTATGAATGATTTCCATTTTATTCTTAAAAAAAAAAGGATTTTATTTTGCAGAAGTATTCATCATCAACTACATGTTGCAATAAAAATTTCATTATAAAAAGGGTCAAACAGATACACAGAAAGCTTCAGTATCTTTTTTATATTTGAAAAAAGAAAGACAGGCCAAGTTATGATAACGGTACACATTTATGTATAAGACAACAGAAAAACCAATAACCCATCACAAATATGCTGTACCTCAACAGCCAAGGATGTTAACCATTGCTGGGGTAAGTTTCGAGTCAGATGTTCATCAACAATTGCAAGACGCGGCGAGAACAACCTAAGAGCACTCTCAATTGCCACTGTCCTTGAAGGAAAGACGACAACATTCTTGCATAATCATTAGAGAAAGCATATCAGAGATAAAGTTTATTTCGTACACCACAAAGAGGACAAGATATTGCAGAAATCTGTCAGAACAGTCACTGTAACCAAATCTATAGATAAAAAAACAATTATGCTACAAAGAAAACATGTTGCATATTTATTGGCTTCTTAGACCTATGGCAGGATAACTTATTCAAATATATGGCAGAGAGAAATTGACTACTTGATAAGTCAAGTTATTCAATGTTTCTTACTTCAGAAGTGAGTGGAACATGATGGTATGTTCTCATAAAGCCTGCAATTAGATTCCGAAATCTCTTGCTTCCAGCAGGTGGCTCATATGGGAAGTACGAATTCTCTTTCAAAACACTGGCAAGATAAGCAAGGAATGGAATCTTCTCATCCGCAACAGAATCATCTTGAAAAGATAAATCCAATGAGCTACTGAGCTCCTGGAAGCCACTTTTAAGAAACTCAAAGATTACCTTAACCTGACAATTTTAACAAATGGTCAGTAATTTGCTATACTTCCTCACCCACTACAAAGGGTAATAAAAATCAAACCGACAAAGTGCCAACATTGTAGCAATAGTCTATATCTGTTTGCCCACCTGGTTTGGTTGACGCAGTTGACAACTATAAACTGATAAAGCATGAGAGATCCTGCCACCAGCCTTCCCATAGGCCCACGCTGTTCGAGCACAAATACGCTGATCACCAGAACGTCCCATGAAGAACTCAAAACGGTGTGGACTATTCTTCTCAATTTCAACTAAGGCTGAGATGTCTGTGTCAGCAGCCTGAAAAAACAAATATTTCAGACAAGAGTATAATGGATTGAGGAAAATGGGTTATAAGGAACAAAACTTTCCTGAAGAACTTTAGTTTGCCAAAGCTTGGTGACATGGAAACCACGTCGTTCAAACAAGCGTTTACAGACACCTTGTCCTGGACGACCTCCCATGTTGAAGATCATAATCCCCATAGGTTTGATTACGGAAATTCCTTCCTCAACTGCTCTAGCAATTAGACCTAAGCCAAACTGATCCTCAACAAAGCCCTAGGCAGCAAAATAAAAATGGATTAGAAAATTTCACAAGCACACTAACACAGAGGCAGTAAGTGATGATTCAACCTGAAGTGCACAATAGTTACTCAATGAATAGAGAAATTCCTCGCTTGCATTTTCTGTGATCATCTTGGACATTGCATCTGGATTGGGATTAAGAATCTGCAAGAAGAAAGATGGAAAGGAGATTGGGGGGCCAATTTTAAGTTGGTCTATTATCCTACATATTGCTGAATGCAGGATTATATTGTAAAGTAAGATGGTGAGAGTGAGTGAGTGAGTACAGTACCTGAGGAATGCATCCAACAATTCGTTCAAGTTGAATGTGATGATCACGGCAATAAGCCAGTAGATCAGATTCATGAAACTCCACCCTGTCCAACAAGGTTTTGTTTTGGTGATCATAGATGGGTTGGCCTTTGTCATCAAGAGCATTCAAGTACAAGTTAATCCAAGAGACCTTCACTGCTCTAGGATTTATGTCAAGGCCGTAGACCTGCAGAAGAAGTTTGTTGAGGCACATAATCGAAGAACGCAAAGAGGGAAGGAAAGGGAAGAAACCTTTGCAGGTAACCACTTGTCAGCAATAGCTATAGATATCCATCCATTTCCACAGCCAAGCTCAGCTACGGTCTTGTCCTGAAAGATGGAGTCTGTTTGTCTATTGAGTCCTTCATAGAAAGTGAAGGACCAGTCTTCTGGGATAAAAATACTAGGGATCACCATCATTGTCAATTTTTTCCTTCCCTGGTAGCCTGAATACAGAAAAAAAGATATATAGATTACATTGTTCCAATTTTAAAACAATTTTTTTCTTTCCTTTTTTTTTTTGTCTCTTGAATTGAATTCCACAATATACATAGAAGATTGGATTCCTGATCACAAGTCAGAGGTAAGGTTGGATATTGAGTGAGAGGGGACATAATAACAATTATAGAAACATAAAGAGTAGTACATTACCCTCATACTGGTCCAAGTGAATGTCTTGGATCTGGAAATGGTAGCGTTGGAGGCAGTCCTGAGACGATCCAACCCGACGGTGGAGATCGGAGAGGAAAAGCCGGGCCTGAACTCGAGTGTTGGGATTCTCGAGCCTCTCCAGCACCGATCTGAAGGCGGCGTAAGCAGAATCACCGGACTGCTGGCACTGCTGCAGGAACTCTTCCACCATTTTCAGTCTCTCACTAGTGTCACACTAGAAGAAGCCAAGAGAGTTGATTTCGTAGAAGAGGAGCGAAGATGTTGCTTTTCGTTCGTTCGGAGGGCTATAGAGCGAAAAGCGGTTTGCTTTTGACGCCTTCGCCTTGTCCTGCTGCAGTGTTGCGTTGCGTGCGGAAATCTCAAATCTTCAGACTTCCCAGGATAATTTATTATTATTATTATTATTATAATAGTTATGCATACCCTTTGATTTTTTTTTTATAAACATAATAATTAGTAGATTAGTATTATAAAAAATTAATAATTAAAGATACAATCCTAAATTTAATAAACAGTTCATCGACTTTAATAAGCACGCCATCGGATTGCTCGGTGGAGTTCGCATATCCCTTGACTTGACTTGGCCTTAAGCGGTTAAACCCTTCACCAGGAGGAGTGCTTGTGATTACGTATTTTTCCATTATTAATATTTAATTTATAATGTGGAATTTTTTTACTTACTAATAATAATAATAAGGCTAAACATAAACCACCACAATGAATATTCAGGATTTTTAAAGTCAAAGTCACAAGCATCAGTGGGTGGATGGAAGCAAATGCACGTGCATATTATCTTTTGTTGTAGTCCCATCTCATCCTATATATGGTAGGAGTAAGTAATAATAGTGGTAGTATGTTAGGTATATATGTACCTGCTAATGCCGTCAACATCATGCCAAAATATGTCCAGAATTCAAAAAATTTTATTTTGAGCCTGTTAACTTTTGCTTGTCTTGTCAAACGAACACCGACAATTGGATCTTCTACTGGTAAGATTTGCATCCTTGTCCCATTCTCAGCCCTAAATCCATATTGTTCTAGCTAAAGCATATTCCCTATATGTATATACATACATCTTCAATTTCCAAAAAAGAAATCCGGCTTACCACATGCGAATTGAAGAAGCTTATTTCACTCATTGCTCTTAGTGGAAGAATGCCCCCTAGCGCCGCACAAATCCCCGGATCGGGTACGAAAAGCAAATACGACACATTAGAATAACGCTAGTTTAGTTGCATTGGAAGCATCATCTCTTAGTGCTTCCCTTCGGTCGTCGAAGAAGAGAGCTAGCAAGTCTCCCAAATCTGGTACTTCTTACTGCCACTAGTGAAAAGGAGGTAAGCGAGGAGCATGCAGCCGGACAGAGATATAGAAAGTGTGAAGTGAGTGAGTGAAAGTCGGATGACCCAGGCGGGTTTTCACAAACTTACCGCACTCATTCTCATCTTAGCTGCCACCGTCTCCTCTTTCTTCCTCGTAAGCTCATTCCCCCTCGGGATCTAGTGTTATAACATGTAACAGACAAATCAATTTAACACTCCTACCAAAGCGGTGAAACAAATGCCACATTGTGTGCACCATAACCCAACCAATTGATCTTTGAAGCAAAACACATCTTAAATTTAACAACTTTGACTTAATGCCTTGCATGCTAAACCAACAATATATAATGGTGCTCAGCACACAGCCTGCAGTTCAGAATTCATCATACCGATAAATGATGCTTTTCAAAGAGTGACTTCTCTTTTCAGAGAAGGCTTAGTACTCATTTGGTGTGACTGGAGTTTTTAATAAAAATTTTGTTAAACAAAAACTATTGTAAAAGTGCTACTTTTGTAAATAGAAAGAAAAATAAAGATAAAATAAGAATAATGTATTAATTTCATTAAAACCTAAATGAGAGGCTTTTGTAGACGTACCAATTCGGTGCTTATGAGATTTGCAATGAAATGAATAAAATACTAATTTGTGAAAAATTGTAGTATTTTTCACAAATGATAGAGTTTGGTGCAACTGAAGCTTTTGGAATTCAAAAAGACTTCTTACCAATTGTATCAAACATAGCCTTAATCATGATTAACTAGGCAAAGAAACCATTCTAACTGTACTCTGCAACTTAACGAGCTCTCATTAAACCCTTCACCAGGAGTAGTAGT